GCTTTTTCCAGTGCTAGCAGTCGAATAAAGTTTATAAAAACGAGGCGGACCATTCGCATGCATTCCCATGGGATTCCCGGTGGGAAGAGCCTCAGATCCTTAAGGGAAGAATCTTCTCCCAACACACCTGAGTGTAGAAACAGGATCCAGACCCTCGGAGAAATCGGTAAACCCAAGGAAAAGGCTGGAAAACAGCATTCCTCCAGGGACGGGCCGCTGCTGGCTGGGGAAGCATCATTAGGGCTACTTAGGACTAATTAGCGCCATCAGCACAGGTGGAGCCCTGGAGCTGAGGCTCACAGGGCTCAGCATCATCTCCCCAGGCCACAGGCAAGGAAAAAAAGGGATTCTAAACGTGGACTAGAAGGGAGAATCCTAAAGTTTTGGTTAAATATTCTGGGGTGAGAAATGGTGATTTCTGGGACAGCGCATCGGGGGCCAGCCGTGCCCACCAAAGGGAAGCAGAAGCGTTCCTGTTGTTTTTATTTTTATTTTTTTTAATTTTTTTTTTTTTTTTTCAGCTCCTAAATATTATCATCCCCAGTGAAGGTATTCCAAGATTGGAAGAGCCTCTCTCTGCAAATTCCAGCCTCGGGAAGTCTGAAAGATTCCGGAGCAGCCGCTCTGGGACGGGAAACAAATCTCCTTTAGTCAACTGGAACGGCAGCCAGAGGTTGAGAAAGGCAAAGAGCCGAACTTAAACTTTTCCAGGGCTGGAAGGGAGAAACCAGCTCACCCTGGCCTCGGAAATTAGGAAAATGTTGTCAGTTTGGGATCGTGCCGCAAGGAAAAGCCTCCGGAGCGCGGTCCAGGCGCCCGTCTCCAGCTGTGTTATCCAGAGAAAGCGGCAGATGGAAACGATTCTGCCCGGTCAGGAGCTTGTCCTCTCCCAGATTCCTGCTTTTCAGCTCCCACATTTTGTTATCATCCCAAAATAGGCCCGTGGCCTGTTGGAGGAGCACGTCCAGCCAGGCTGGGAAGTGGCAGGGAATGGGAGAGGAGAAGGAGAGGAGCAGCCGTGCTTCTAGAAAAGCATTTTCTCCTAACTTTTAGGGATGTTTTTTTGAAGAACTCCAGAGTTTTCCCTTCCCTCCCCCAGCACAACCCTGGGATGCATTTCCCTGCCCAGCTCCGCGTCCAGCCGGATCTCCTGCCAATCCAAACATCCTCCATCTGCCGACAGCAGCCCTGAATGTCCCTTCTTGTTCTTCCCGAGCTCCCGTACCCCCCAAAAATCCAGATCCCCTAGAGGAGACTGATCCGTCTGGGGGAGCCTCCTTCCCCGGGACAAGGAGTGGGAATGGTTTTGGTGGGTGCAGCTGGGCAGGACGCGAGGGAGTGAGGATTCCCAGGGGAAAGGACACTCAGGGATGAGGATTCCCAGGGGAAAGGATGCTCCGGTGGGAATGAGCTCCCTGCTATTAGCCAGCCCCTCCCAAACACAATAAAGCAGGAAAATAAACCCACGGATAACAGGTTCTTGCCCTCCCGGATCCCAATTCCCCTTGGACTGCTCGGGGTGAGCATTCCCCCCATCCCACACATCCATCAGGTGCCTCACTCCAGTGCCATCCTTTACATCATCCTTTAATTGTGCTAAATCCAGCGGGATGAGGGAACATGCGGAACATGCACAAGCAGGAGGGTGAATCCCCCGGGAGAAGCCGAATCCCAGCTCTCCCCAGCATTCCTACGCCGGGATGGAGGCTCTGGCTGATGGAGCAGGGAATATTCCCACCTCCACGTGCAGCTGAAGCTCTGCTGGGAGGGGGACCCATGGGGGATCCCCATTTGGGAGGTTGGAGGAGCAGGGATAGCCCTGGAATTGCTCCTTTGCCCCGCTTGCCGGAGAGGGCACCCAGGTGGATGTCCACGGAGTTTTCCAGCCCTGATGGATCCCAGGGGTGCCAGACCTCAATCCCTACAGGGATTCCAGGATTCTCAGGCTGCCAGGGGGATTCTCAGCATCCAGAGGGAAGCAGAAGTGTGTTTTTAGGGATCAGGTCTGGGTGCAACAAGGGAGGAGAGCGGGAAAGGCCGTGAGCCTCTCTCCCCCCACACACTCGGCTTCGCCGCTTCCTAAAGGAAAAAATGGGAATTCAAAGGAAATCAGGGCCGTGGTTTCCATCTGCTGTTGTAGCCGGGATGAGGATGGGACTTTTCCACCTCATTTGGTGGTGTGAATCTACCCAGGCAGGCGTAAATCCCCCCCGGGATGGAGACCTTCGGGACAGAGCGGCCGCCGGCCGGCTCCAGCCTGGACCTCCCCCAGGAGCCACGGGCAGCCGAGCAGGGATCAAGGAACAATCCCCCTCACTTAAAACTCATAGGCCGAGACGAAGAGGGTGATTTTGGACAGGTGCTTGGCCTGGAAGGCCCGATCCAGGTACTCGGCCATGTCCACATCCACGTGCAAGGTGCGGGGCCCGCGCAGGCTGTGCAGCAGCAGCAGCTCCCCGGCGTGCCGCTCCGAGCGCCGCACCGCGAAGTGCCCGCGGCCGCTGCCGCCCGCGATGCCGAAGCGCAGGCTGTCCGGGCCCGGCCGGCCCGGAGCCATGCGGAACAGCGGCACCGGGGCCCGCGCCCTGGAGGGGAGCGGCAGGTAGTGGAAGGAGATGGTTTTGGGGGCCTGGTGGCACGAGCGGCTCTCCATGGGGCACGGGTTGCGCTCGCAGCGGCTGCGGAAGGAAAAGCCACGGAGGGTTTTTTTGGGGGGTGGGGGGATGGATCCGCGGGGATGGCGCGGCGTGGATTTGGTGCCCCGCACTTACAAGGGGGAGGTTTTGACGTAGGAGATGTTGCCGGCGGCCGGGGGACACTCGGGGGTGACGCACTGGAATCCCCCGCCCGTGTTGATGCAGCTGCTCCCGCTCGTGCAGTTATCCTGGGATAGGGAACACTCATCAATATCTGGAAAAGAGGGGCGGGAAGAGGGGTCAGAGCCTGGAACTGAGCTCCAGCTCAGCTCACCTTCCTGTCAGAAAATAGAAAAAACCGCCTTGAAACAGGTCAAACACGATGCAAAAAAATATGGGAGCATCCCGGAATTCCATCTCCTCTCCCCAGGCTCAGTCCCGGGCCGGGTTAAGAGCAGCCCTCTCCCAGCAGGAAGGCAGCTGCTTTCCCAACCTTTCTGCTCGATTGTTTGGAAACCCCATCCCTTTTTATTTACTGATCACCCGAAGGACACCTGGCAGGAGCTGGAATGCAGAGGATTTGCTGGGAGCATTAGCGAGATGTCACAGAACGCAGGAAAATCAGGGAGCAATGGGGAAATCCGGGTTTTCTCTACCCTGAACTGCAGCAATCAACACTTCGGGGCACAAAAACTTCCCTATTTCTCAGGAGGCTTTTCAGCAGTTGTGGCCTCCCACCATTCCCAGCCACTGCCTTCCACCTGCACCCCAATTCCCTTGGGACTGCCAGCCTCTGAGCTGATCCTGGAATTCGCGGGGTTTAACATCGCTTTCGGTTCTTCCCAGGAATTCCTTGCTCCAGGAACATCCCCACAGCCACAATAGAGTCATCTTCAAGGAGGTGCAGACCCAAAGTGTTGCTCCATCATCCAGAGGTGAGGGAGAGGGAAAGGGCAAGGAGAAAGAGAAGGAGAAGGAAGAGAAGGAGCAGCCATGCTTCAAGGAAAGCATTTTATTTTCATTTTTAGGGATTCTTTTGAAGCACTCTGGTGGAGTTTTCCCTTCCCTTCCCCAGCACAACCCTGGGATTCATTTCCCCATCCAGCTCTGCATCCAGCCGGGGCTCCTGCCAACCCAAACATCCTCCATCCGCTGCCATCCCGCAAAGCGTGGCTCCATCATCTCCCTCCCCTCTGCACCAGCCTCTGCCTTGGAAATGGAGAAAAAGCTGGGGGGAAATGACAAAGCCCTTGGGACCGAATGGATTCCAGCCCCCTCACCTTCGCAGCTCTTGCCGTCGCCCAGCAGGACGTACCCGGCGGGGCAGGAGCAGCGGAAGGAGCCGGGAGTGTTGATGCAGGCGTGGGCGCACAGCCGGGGTCCCCCTTCCTGCTGGTACACCTCGCACTCGTCGAGGTCTGCGGAGACAGGGATCCACCGGGATCTCGCTCCAGCCTCCCGGGAAGAGCCAGGGAGCGAGCTGGGGCTGGAGGAGTCGGGGAGGCGGCTTGGGGCAGGGCTGCCGGACCCCAGGGCACGGGAGCCCGGGGGCTGTGACCGGCGGTGTCCCGCAGAGAGCGACACTGGGCCCGGCCCAGCTCGGCCCCCATGGCCCGGCTCGCGATCCATGGGACCGCTGGGCTGAAGCGCTTGGAGCCTCCCGGAGGAGTTTGGGGCGGCGGCCGGGTCTCCCTCCCCGGGGATGTTCCAGAAGCAGCCGGACACGGGGCTGTGGGCCCCGGGGCGGCGGGGCTGAGCCGCTGTGGGCCCGGCCGGTGGCTCCTCCGGGACTCCCGGCATCCCCGCATCCCTCCCGCATCCCGGCTCACCCTGGCAGATGCCGTTGGAAGCCGTGCCGCTCATCTGGAAGCCGGGATCGCAGCTGCACTGCTGGCTCTGGGCGAGCTGGGCGCAGCGGGGCTGCCGGCTGAAGGCCGGGTCATCCGACACGCTCCAGCCGGGAGGAGCTGCGGGAAAACGCCGGGATGGGGAGCCGGGATGGGCCGCGGGATGGAATATCCCATTTATCCCCCGGCAAGGGTGACCCACCGGTCTGAGCGCGGTACTGGCAGCTGGTCCCGGCCCACTGCGGGGGACAGAGGCATTCGAAGTGGCCGAGCCCCTCCAGGCACGTCCCGCCGTTCTGGCAGGGGCTGCTCGAGCACTCGCTGATCTCTGCGGGAAAAGCAGAGATCCGTGTGCCGTGTTACCTCCTCTCGGGAAGCAAACCTCGGGAATGCTGCGCACACCGGCATAGCCTCGGTACCCTGCGGCACATCACAGCCGCCACCCCGCTCGCCCTCATCTCCTCAGCTGCTCCAGCTGTAATTCCCAGTTTTCCTTAAGACTGAGAAATCCCAAAGCCACGGGAGCTGCAGCATCCCTGGAACTTTGGGGGTCAGCCGCGATCCCTCCCCACTGTGAGCAGCCCAGTGTTGGAATCGATCGGCTTTTCCAAAGGCCATTCCAGGGCCGGGAATGAGCGGTACCTGCACAGCGCGGCTCCTGCCCCGTCCAGCTGCCGTTGGCCTGGCACGTCCGTGTGCTGGAGCCCAGGAGCTGGAATCCTGGATCACAGGCGAAGTGAACCTCGTGATCCACCAAATATTTGGTGCCGAACTTCTTCCCATCCGCAGGGGCTTGGAGGGCAGGACAGGAGGCTGCGAGACCCACGGAAAGGGGATGAGTTTGGAGGGGGCCCTTTCCTTCCAAGCCACCCTTCAGCCGCTGTTTCCCTGGAATGCTGTGCCGAGGACTCACGGGCGGGCGGCTCCTTGGCCAGGGAGGCGTGGATGGTGCCGAGGCGGCTCCTGACGGCTCGCAGCCCCTCGGAGAAGCGCGTCTCCTGCCCCTTGAGCAGCTGCTGCATCTGCCGGATGGCAGCCAGGAGCTGCTGCCTGCTGAGGCAGCTCTGCGGGGACAGGGATGGGGACAGCCATGGGGACCTCCCCGTGCTGCCGCTTCCCCCAGGAGCCCCCCGGCCGGCCCCGGGAGGAGGCTGGTGCGGGAGCTCCGCGGCGTCCGGTGTTCCCTGAGCGCCCTGACTTTGTCTTTCCCTCCGCATTTACCCAGATCCGGGAGTTTTTTCCACCTAGGCCCGCGCTCCAGGCAGGGCTGGGATCGCTTTGTGGGAGAGATGCTATAACTCATGTTTCATCCTGCTGGAGCTCCAGCCCTGTCCCGTTTCCACATGACAAAAGAAGAGGAAAACAGCTGTCTTGTGAGCTCTGCCGGGGCCAGGAACGCTGCTGGGACTCCTGCCTGCAAAGCGATCGCTCCCGCGGGACTGACTCATGCCGGAGACGGGCACCGTTATTATGGGATTCCTGTGGAATTGACTCGAAACCGAGGAAAAAGAGCAAAGCCATTCCCAGATCTCAGAAATCCGGGGAGCGCAGTGACGAGGGAGCGCGCAGGGACTGCGCTGGGGGCTACGGAATTCCGGGAAAGCGAACCGGAGCTGGTGGGCTCTGTCCCACCTGCTGGAAGGGATTTCCTCCCCCCTTTCCACAACCGCGCTGTGGAATGATTCCCGTTTCCAAAGCGCTGCTGAGGGTTGAGGGAGGACAAAACGGGGAGCCCAAGCACTCGGTGTCCTCTGCTTCCCCGGGAGCGGTTTCGGGGCTCCCGGGCTGCCGGGGGTGTGCTGGCAGCTCTGTGATACCCCGAGCTCAGAGGAAGGGAGGCAAAAGCAAATAGATGCTGGCGCGTCGCTGGCTTTAATAAACAGCTCTTTGTTAGGGCTGGGTTTAACTCCGGGAGCCAGCGCGAGCTCCGGCGGGATGCTGAGCCATCGCAAAGTTGGAAAATCCTGCCCCCGCCAAAAAGAAAGCCCCAAACGGGGGTTCTCTGCCCCCGGTGCGCTCGGGGGCAGCTTCAGGTGTGGGCTGAGAAGGGAGAAAAGATCCCGAAAGCGGCCGCTCGCGCTTTAAGCGCGGCTCGGGCGCAGTTTAAGCGCGGCTTTGCCCACCTGTCTGCCGGGGCAGCGCTGCGGGGGCGCACGGGCAGCGAGAGAGAAGCGGAGAGGAGCCCCGTGTCCCCCCCCAGCCCCTCCGGGTGCCGGTCCCCGCTCACCTGGGCGGCCGGCGCGGCCGGGAGCGGCAGCAGCAGCGGCAGCAGCAGCAGCAGCGGCGGCGGGAGGCGGCCCCGCGGCCCCGCCATGGTGCGGTGCGGCCCCGCCGCTCTCCGGGAGCGGCTGCCCCGTGCTCTCCCCGCCCCTCCCGCGCCGCCCCCGCGCTGCCCCGTGCAGGGGACGCGGCGCTTCCCCGCCCCGGCGCCGGCCCGGCCCCGCGCATCCCCCGGGACACCGGCCGGGCTCCGGGCATCCATCCCCCGGGACACCGGGACACCGGGACACCGGCCAGGCTCTGGACATCCATCCCCCGGGACACCGGGACACCGGCCGGGCTCTGGACATCCATCCCCCGGGACACCGGGACACCGGCCGGGCTCCGGGCATCCATCCCCCGGGACACCGGGACACCGGCCGGGCTCCGGGCATCCATCCCCCGGGACACCGGGACACCGGCCGGGCTCTGTGCATCCATCCCCCGGGACATCAGCGGGGCGCTGCGGGCATCCACCCCCAGCGGTTGGGGCCTTTTCCCGCAGCAAAGCTGTTTCTGGTGTTGCCGGGAGGAGCGGGCACCGTGCAGGAGCCCCTGTGAGCCCCGGGACCACCCGCGCCAGGCAGGGAAACCCTTTCCCAGCTCTGCACCCCATCTCAGTCACTGCACCCCTTTCCCCAGTCCCAAAACGCCTTCCCCAGCTCCTGCACCCCCCCGTTCCCAGCCCGGTCTCCCCCAGGGAGAGGCAAGAGGCGCTGGCTCCAGCTCCGGTTGCTGCGCAGCAGCCCCAGCTGTGGAAGCAGCAGAATTCCCCCCAGCAGGGGAAGGGGCAGCAGGGAAGGGCCCAGGCCATGACTGGGGGGCTCCAGGCTCCCGTTTCCCTGGCGTTGCAGCAGGAGCGATGGTTCCTCGGCACGGGGATGGGATGGATGGGAAGCCGGCCGGGAGAAGGGAATGTGGGAGCACCCGCTGCTCCCACTGGGGCTCCCGTTTCCCGTGGGGATCTCCTGAGTGTCAAATCCCCCAGCAGGCTGTAGAGCTGGAGCCCTCACCATCCCGGGGGCTGCCCACCCCACAGACCTTAACAGGCCATGGAAAAGGGGGAAAACACCGGGCCCTGCAAGACCAGCTGCCCCCTCAGCACCACCCGCCCCACCCTGCTCTGCTCCTTCTGGAAAAGATGAATAATTACAGCAAAATAATTCCACTGTTAATTCCACTGTTAATTCCAAACCCCCGGGACTTCAGCCCAGGGACGAGCTCCCGGGGAGAGCCAGCAAAACCGTGCAGGAGATAATAAATAAAAGAGACGAGCGTTTATTAAAATATTCCCTCTGTGTCCTTGCCACGGTGCCGCTCACACCGCTCCCAGCGGCGCTTCCGAGTCCTCCCCGCGGCTCCCGGCCCGCGGCCGCTCCGACACCGGCAAAGTGCCGGCCTGGCTCCATCGGCTGCCCGGCTCCGAGCCCCGGCAGGGAAGCAGCGGCACGTAGGGCTCCTCCACGGGGCCACCGAGCTGCTCCTCCACCACGTACCTGGCGTCCCACGCCTCGCCGGGATGCACGTCCACGGCCACCAGCGCCGCCTCCGCGCCGGGGGAGCCGGGCTCCGACGCCTCCGCGGCGTCCAAATCCGAGTCCGCTTGCGGGAAGCCCGAATCCTGCGTGGAGTCCGGGCTCTGCTCGGGAAGGCCGGTGTTGATGTAGATGATGTCCCCGCAGGCTTTGGCGGTGGGCAGGTTTTCCAGCAGCTTCTCCAGCTGGCCTTTGAGCTGGGAGAAGGTGGGGCGGGTGGCAGGGTCGGCTCTCCAGCACTCGGACATTATTTCGTACCTGGAAACCGGGAGAGGAGTGCGGTTGACAGAGGATTCCGGCATCCCAGGGTGCTTTGGTTTGGAAGGGACCTCGGAGATCATCCAGTCCCACCCTGCTGCCATGGGCACCTCCCAGCATCCCAGGTTGCTCCAAGCTGTCCTTGAACACTCCAGGGATGGAGCAGCCACAGCTTCTCCAGGCAGCCTGCACTTCTCTGGATTAGGGCAAGTATGGGAACCAATTTCCAGCTTCCCTCCAAGCTGGGCAAGCCTTGAAATTCCCATTAAATCAAGAGTGAAACCAACTCTCTCTGCTCAGGCTGTTTCCCAAGGGCATGGATTTATCAGCCCAAGCTGCTGTTAGAATGTGAGAAGTGTTCCAGCGCAGCCCTGGGATCTGTTCCCTGGGATCTGTTCCCTGGGATCTGTTTCCTGGGAACATCCCAGCCCTGTGTGTGGATGTCAGGGAGCCCTGGAAGCTCCCAGCACATCCCTGCCAGCCTCGCTGCCCTCCAGCAGGCCGGACTCTTAGAGGTTCCTGCACTGCTTCCTTCAGGAACAGGCAGTGGAGAGGAGCCTTTTAGGAAATGTTGGACTTTGTTTATCCGCTTGGGATTCAGAGCTCTCGGCCATGGGGGGTTAAAGCATTTTTTAGCTCTAATGGCACTGGGGGAAAAACTCAGGAAAGAAGTTTGGGAGAAAGGCCTTTGCTGAGCTGCTCAGAAATCCAAAGGTTTGTGTGTTCTGCGTTTCCCCTTTCCAGGGGGACACAGATTTACAGATTTGAGGCAAGGAAGGGCCCTAGAGGGAGTTTTGTGGGACAAAGAGGAGCATCACCAGCCAGGACCTTTTGGCCAAACCAAACCCAAAACTCGAGAACGGAAATACTAACAAGTCCCATCACTGACTGCTCCTGGTGACTTTGCCAGCCCCACAAAGCCGTTGCTTCCCCTCAGGACATTTGTTGGGATTTTTTTGCCTGGAGTTCAGCAGATGCTGACCCACGCTCCAGGCTTTCCACTGAGGGGCTCGTTCCTAGGAAAAGCCATTTTCCCAGCTGGCATCCCGGGACTCACAGCTCATCCAGGCAATCCTCGGGTTTCTTCAGGCGCTGCCCGTGGAAGAGGTACTCGTAGATCTCGTGGTTCTGCACGCCCGGGTACGGCGTCATCCCGCGCGTGGCGATCTCCCACATGGTGACGCCGAATGCCCACTGCCGGCACAAAGGGAGAGGCCGAGGCTCAGGGGACCCTTCCAGGAGGGATGAATGAACCTTTTCATGGGGAAAGGTCACCGCCCGGCGTCCGAGGGACAACGGGCAGAGCTGCGGCGCTCCCCAACCCGGGAACGAGCTGGGAGGCCAGCGGCCCACTCGAGGGCCACCCCGACGGCTCCCGCGCTTCCGAGGAGCGACAGGAGTGCGGCGCGGCTCGGCCCGGGGGCACCGGGACCCACCACATCGCTCTTGGTGGTGTAGACACGGTCAGCCAGGGACTCGAGGGCGATCCACTTGACCGGCATCTTGGCGATGCGGCCCTGCCGGTAGTAATCGCCGCTGTAGATCTTCTTGGAGAGCCCGAAGTCTGCCACGCACACCGTCATGTCATCCCGCAGCCTGGGGACACACACGCGGCCTCAGGACAGCCACACGGGCCAGGCTGTGGCTCCAAACCGAGGGAAAATACACAGGGTGCGCCCCGTGGGGTGGAGCAGGGGAAAAGGCTCACATGCAGTTCCGAGCTGCCAAGTCCCTGTGGAGGAAGTTCCGACTGCTCAGGTATTCCATGCCCAGGGCGATGTCCACCATGAACTTCACCAGGGTCTGCAGGGGCACAAACTGGGGAGGGAAGGTGGGGGCTGCACGGCGTCGATCCGAAAGGTTTCCCTCTGCCATCCCAAGGGATGAGCCCACGGCAGCAGACCAGCTCCCGTCCCTCAGACCGTGCCGTTCCTTGACCCACGAGCCTGCAGGAGCTGCGGAGGGCGGCTCCACTCCCACCTCGATCCCACCCCACCCTCTGCTCCCGCTGCTCCCTACCTGGGGGGCCATTTCCAGCCGGGAGCGCAGCAGGAAGCTGTGCAGGTCCCCGTATTTCATGAAGGGCAGGATCACCATGGGCTTGGGCACCTGCAGGGAGCTCAGCTCGATGCACACCCCTGGGAAACACGGGCAACTCACACAGCGCCCCGGGAAAAGGGATCCAGCTCCACCCAAACCCCGGCTGGAGGGCGGCAAGGGACGGTACCCAGGAGCTTGATGACGTTGGGATGGTCAAAGTCCTTCATGCACGCCGCTTCGCTGAGGAACTCTTCGATCTCCCTTTGGGAAAAGTTGTCCACTGGGAAGCAGAGAGAAAGGAAGAGCTTTAAAGCCCCCAAACGGTGGCAGGATGCCGCTCCTGAGAGAGGCACTGGGAATGTTGGTGTCCAGTGGGACAGACGTCAGGTCCCGTGGGGCAGGGAGACAACTCACACTTCATGGTCTTCACAGCCACCTTCTGCGGGGGCCCCTCGGGCTGGCTGAGCCGTCCCTCCATCACGGACCCGAACTCCCCTGCACCACAGGGAAGAAGGAATCCCTTCATCCCAAGCACCACCTTCCAGGACATCACCAGATCCCGAAGATCTGGAGTGCTCCAGGCCGAAAGGCTCATTCCTCACAGGAGGAACTGTCACACGTTGTGACAGGAGGACAAGCTGGGCTGATGGGAGCTCCCCTGCCCGCGGCAGGAGGTTGGGATGAGGGGAGCTTTACTCACCCTCTCCCAGGACCTTTCCCAGGCTCAGGGCGTTCCTGTCCACGACAACATCCTGCAGCTTCTGCTGGAGCTCCCTGCTGACACCCAGGCTTCCCACTGCAGGAGAGGGGGACAGCAGCTCAGGCAGCTGCCACCTGCTGCCAGGCTCCCCCTCCAGCCCCTTGCAGAGGGAGAGAAGCGTGTCCTTACGGCTCAGCTCCACGGCTCTCCGGCAGTAGGACTTCTTGGCAGTGTAGCTCACTGCCAGCTCCGAGTCGTTCCTGCTGAAGGCATTCCTGAGGGAACACAAACACATCTGCTGTGCCTGGACGAAGGAGGCGGCGTGGCAGGGGCAGGAGCCCAGCGGATCCGCAGGAAAAGGGGAAATGCACGTTCCATTTCCTTTTTCCTGGATCACGCCTGCGACGTCTGAGCAAAACAACAGCTCCACAAACACCACTGAACCATCAAGGAGCGAGTCACAAGCTTTTGGGGAGGAAGCAGGACA